GATACCCAAAACACTTGAAGTGATATTGATCGCTTTCAAGCCCTTTCCGGCGCAGATGGATTTGATAAACAATTCAGTGTTAAGCAGCTCCCTAGGTGCAGTAAAATTACCTCTGGTCTTATCAATAGCGTTACTTTCCTAAGGCGCCATCAAAAGAAGGATGAGCGAAGGCGAACAAATGGTATGGACGAATTGATCCGGCAAAAAAAGTTGTCCAAGGAACACCGGGAGCGAGAATCCGCACTCAACGAGCCTACGGAAAGATTATTGGGCAAGAACGAAGGCAAATTCGGGCATATGCTCAACCTTCTGTCGGCAAGCAAATACCAGCAATAATCCATTGTTTTGGACATTGGAAGAGCACAGGAACCATCGAAGGACATTCGCGGCTGTGGCGAGCTGCCCGATTAAAACGTAGGGCGCTTCTGGGTGGTTACCACCGGAGAGGGACAAGCAAAAATTATAGAGCAATATCAAAATTATGGGCATGTTGAGTTCACTAATGAGCACAATACATCAAAGATATGCCCGTATTGTTTCTCTGAAATCGTCCTCCACAAGACCCGTCGCATTGTTAACGGAACAGAAAAGATCGTGCGGTTAAATGGTGCAGTTTAAGTTGAGTGCATTCACCCCCAATGTCCGGCAAAAGAAAAAGATACACGACAAGAGGAAGAGACACAAACGCGGCAGCCAATATTGCTTTATCTGGAGCTTCTAGCATTTTGGTTCATCGTGACTTTATTCACAAAGAATGAATATGGTGTTAAGCCAGTCCTATGTGTACTATGTATATGTGGTAAGCGAAGAATAAGGAGTGAGGATGAAGCTAGAATTTTTACTAGTTTGATTTACTCACTATGTTCACTTCGTCTGGCTTTGTTGCAGCACGCCCCATATAATAACAAAAGTGCCCCCAAATTTCGACGTTTGTTTTAATCTGTCGCACTTCCTCATAATAAGGCAAATTTTTCGCGCGCGAGTGTTTTTATATGGTAGCAATAAAAAGGGTTATACATCAAAATCGTGTCAATTGATTGACGCTTTCCGCTATTGCTATTCGATAACCTGAATCACATCAGCTTTAGACTTTTCAGCAAATGAAGGTAATGAATATGAATTTCACCGATCATTATCATTTCGCGGGTGATATTTTATTGCAAGCCTTTACTATACGGATATTTATGGAACGACGTATAATTCCACTAACTTCGATTTATCAAAAAATGTCAGCCATAACATACAGACTTACAGTGCTACCTTAACCAACAAAAGCATGTGGACCTATTAAAAAATAGTAGCGTTAGAATTGGTACTGACTTAATATTCTTACTGAAAAATTAACAGGACGCAAACATTTGTATACGTACAGTACCATTGGTGTTCAAAAAAAGGCACAAAATTTACAAATAATTCGTATATGCGTAACTCGGTTAATTTTCAAAATAAACGCAATGGATCAAAACAAAGCTTATGAATGGACTATATTTACAAACAAACTTATTTTCAACTTACGTCGTGCTTTGCCCAAAACAAGTATAAAATGTCTGTCCGTTAACGACAAACGATATTATATTATTGGGAGAAGGAAATATGCGAAGCCCCTAAAATACAATCATTGACCAAGATTCCAATAAGAACTATCTATAACTTAAAGAAAAGGAGATGTACTGTAAAGCACCGAGGGGGAAATGACCGCAAAAAAATTATAATATTGATGCTCGTAGAATTGGCCAGTACGTTCGAAGAAACCCGATCACTATACTGCAAGTAAGTTAAACGAGAAAGGAACTACTCGCATAACTGTAGGACGTCATTTGACTGAACATGGTTATAAAAATAACCTTCCCCTTTCCATTCCAATGCTAATAAAGAAAATCGGGTGATATTAATATGGGCCAGAAAACACTTAAATGACAATTGGAAACGGACAATTTTCACTGATGAAACATCATTCCAATTGTTTCGGAACACAATTAAACATCGGCATAAAGGGCAAGGCCAATACGTCCATTGCCGAAAATTGACGCAAAATAATGAAATGAGGGTGGTTTCTGTGCAAAGGGAAGATCAGTCTTTTTTGCTTCAGCCATATCATGGATGCAAATTTTTTATGTTACAATATCAGAGCAACACGTTTCAGAAATAAGAGAACTGTTGGGAAGCAGATGGCGTTCCAACAGGATAATGAGCCTAAGCATACATCGCGTACTGCAAAGGATTTTCTCCAAAACAATGTTTCAATGGTTTTTCCAACAGTCCTGACCTTAATCTTATTGAAAACCTTTGGAATATTGTTAAAACAAATGCGGAAAGGCGTAAACCAAACAACTGTAAGGAATTGGAAAAGTTTATGGTTGAAGAATGGAACAACGTTCCAATTAACTTAGTAGAGCATCAATTATAGAAAATAATGGTGATCGCATCCCATATTAAATGATAATCACCTTTTACGCTTTCAAGTAAAGTCTAAATTATATTATTTGGAGCAATATGTGATGAGTTAGAAAGAAATTGTTTGTGCCATTTTTTTGAACAACACTGTATGTGCTGTAGCAGTAGAATTAGTCCCCTGAGTATATACAGTGTTAACAAAGAATATACTTACACTCACCTAGCGAATTATTTCCGGAATGAAAATGCGTTTAGAAACTGTTATTGAAAAAAGGGGTTTAACAATTGATTACTATTACTAGATTTTTATTTTATAATTTACATCATTACTTATGTGCCTCCTTATTACTAAAATTAGATATTATGCATTTTTGTATTGTTCATCGAAGCAAGACCAACAAAACACAATTCTCTTCCATTTTCGCAGATCACGTTTAATGACCCGGAACATAAATTTATCGATGCTATCCCATTCTAGTCGGATAATCTGTAAAAAATCATCTAATCCAATTGATTTTTTTTTGTAAAATACGTTGATTTGGCTGGATCGAGCTTTCGCTTATTGTCCAACATTTAGATTAGGGGTGGCTCGATGGAGCGACCTCTCTTTTCTACCCTTTTCTTCATTATTGCCCATAACTTTTCTATAGGGTTTAAGTCGGGTGAATAAGAAGGCCAATCGAGAACTTTTGGACTTTTTTTTTTTTCAGAAATTCATTTGTTAACCCGGCAGTATGCTTGGGGTCGTTGTCTTGTTGAATTTTTCCAATAGGTTTGAAGTATTAGAGAAAAAATTTTCCATTAAAAATTTCCGGTAAAGCTCCCCATTCATGTTTTCAGCAAAACAATAAAATTCGACAACTCCCTGTGAACAAAAAGCACCCCAAGCATGAACCTTGAGTGGGTGTTTGACAATTATAAATTACACGCCGTGGCTTTTCTTATCCCACTTTATATCTTACTAATGTAGTATTACGAAATAATTGGAAGGTTGTCTCATCAGAAAAGACAACTTTTTTCTATTAAGATGAGACTTTGCCCATTTGACGCGATAATCCTTTGCATTGGCTGGTTAACATTGGTACTGAAACTGGTACACAAACGCAATAGCCGAGGTTATAGAGGTTCTCACGGACGGTTCGTGGTGCAATATGAGTAGGTTTGGTTAAGCACATGAGCAATTTCTTTACTGCTAGCACATTTTCTTGAACTTGCTACAAGATGTATGCGCTTTTTCGCAGTAAGTTTTTTTTGCCTTCCTAGGCGAAATTTGGGTTTCAGGGAAGCTGTTATTGATATATTTGTATAAAGTAGATATAGGAATGTGTTATCTTATGGAGCTCTGATCGCCTTTGGGGGCAAAGTAAGTTGCTTAGGCATTTTAACAAAAAAAATTATGAAAGTAAACAAAGAACGCGTTGTTAATTTAAACATTTTATTTATAAATTTGTTATCTGATGTAACTTTCCATACATATATTTTCCATATTTAAATAAACCAGGGAACGTGTAATATTAATTAAAGCAATTACATAAAATTCTCATTATTTTCCGTCACTACTGTACTAGTACTTCCTGGGCGGCAACAACCTTAGCGAATCCCGCATCCGATTCCAGCGATACCATCGAGTGGGGTAATTAGTCGAAACATGAAGCTGGATGTAAGTCATCTTGACAGGCGTTTTATTGTAGATGTGGTCATGATCGTTTGAAGAAAGTAACGAATCTTCGATGAAAGTAGTGAAGACACACTTGATGATTTGAGCAATGTGAATGAGGCAACGGATGGTGAATACGTGCGTGCGAAAAGTATAAATAAAATTATACTAACCTGCGTTTAGCTCTAGGGGTTAATCACAATGTGACTGGAGTTACAGTGAAACATCCGTGTAATGATGCCTGAAAAGTCTCTACACCATTAGAACACTTTTGGTTTTAATTGGTGACTATAACATTAAGTATTAAACGTGAATGATGTGACGTCCACGTTCACTTGAACTTTTCACTTTGTAACACACGTTTTATGATATTACACATAAGTATATCGCTTATTGGTGTGTGATAGTAGCTATATGCATGATGTGATTACAAATAAGGTTTCAAATGACAAGTTTGATGTACAAACTCAATTGGAATGCTAATGTATAGTTGAATATTAGCAGGAAATCATAATCAAGAAAAGAGCAAGTCGTGTTGTTGTATATATTCAATATTACTAATTGAGCATCATGAGTCGTACACACTGTTCGAAAACTTCTATATATTCGTATACCGGTATTTGGATACACCATTATCACTTTGAATGGACGTTAGAAGCCATGGTTATAGCATGCATGCAAAGAGAAAGATTGTGTACACGATGGTAGCCGTGAGAGAGTTTGAGGTGACAACAGGTTTGCTTGTTCTAGATAAAATTTCTGTAGGATTGACAGAAAACTATTAGCATTATCGTAAGAGACAATGAAGTGTAAAGGGTATGTGAAAAATTTGTGTTCTGCAATCATATAACGTCTTTGATTATACTACAACGGGTGATCAAAAGTATGATTATTGTAGAATCCTAATTGAAGAGAGTATATTTCGTAACCTAAAAGATGAAGGCACGTGGGTCGTGTAACCATGTATTACTCGGAATGTATGAGAAAGTAATAACTAAATGACCCGATGGGGGTGTTCCAGCAACACATGGTATATTTATTCAACTTGTGGTTAGCCGATCGCCAAGGATAGGTAAGAAGTTTTTCGCATGTCAATCAAACATTATAAATGAAACGTATCGAGTTAAATCATATATAAATATATTCGAATTACGGGCCGTTATGGTTCGAATTAACATCAGCATAATTATAATTATAAATTAACACAATAATAAGATTTTGTAATTGTAATTATACTATTAATATGTATTACAGCCTATAACTTCTCGTGTTCTTATAAATAGTG